ACTGCCATACATCCGTCTCATAATTCCTTAACATGGCTATCATATGGTTTTTCCAGGAAGCCACTTCTAAAAGGATCTACCTGATCGTCTACTGACGTAACTAGGCAACAAAACATCTTCCCCTCTGCGATTATTCGCAATGGGTTGTACCTCTATGTGCTTACTTATCTTATGAACTCATGATTCCTTTTTGTTTGCAACTGCACCAACTGTCATCACAATCAAGTTGTAACCTGACTTGGGCCAACTAGGATTTCACATTCTTAGTCCAATAGTGGTTCTCAAAGTCCATCGCTTGCTCTTCAGCTTGTTACATACTGAGTTTACTTGGTGGAATCCGTCAATGTTTTACCGCTTGACATTCCTCCAACTGTTGGCTCCTCCTCACAAGTAAACACAAACCCGAGGTAGATTTTACTTGTTGTTCACGTCTGATTAGAAATTGAAATCCTTTGTAACCCATAGATAGCATATTATTGTTCGTTTAGTAAACTAACATATTATCCTTAGTCCTTTTACGACACTTGACTATATGTTTTACCACGAACTAGATGCACTCGTCTAGGATTACATCGAGATCTACTAACTATGCTCATAACAATAGTAGATATAAGGCCTCATTTACTGCATTACATACACTAGGCTTTCTATTGCCGAGCAAAAGGAACTCTTTTGTCCAACGCATGCTAAGAATGAGCCTTATGACAATATTTAGACAAGAAGCTCGAGATAATTGCAACATTTCTTTCTTGTGATGCTTTACTTCACGAGCATGTGTCAATTCTTCAGAATGCTTCACAACGAACTGCTTGGATAACCATATCTCTACGTCTGACAACATTTCCGCACAAAGCTAAGATATTTGTTTGGGAAGAGAGTTCCCATGAAAACTTAAGTCAGAGACTTAAGTATAATTTCTCTTAAAGAAAAGAAGAGCAGTTTCAGAAAGATTAGAAAGAGAAGAGATTGTTTTTTAGTAGTGCCCGAGAAGAGTTCCTAAGAATAATGTTTTAAAAGCTCAAATTATTTCAGAAAACTTAGTGTTTTCTAAAGAAAAATAAGCGAGTGCTATAAAGACCACTTTATTTTACTCGTATTTTTGCTCTCAAAAGCTAAGATCAAATTTCACAAAATTGAATCTAACCTAATTCCAGGACAAACGAAAAAAAAATGCCACCGACCAACGTCTCCGTCACTACGTCACAGAGCCTCACTGTTAACCGAAATCCCATGTGGCTACAAGATGTAGTCTTGTGCATGCTACAAATTAGCCAATGATGCACATGTACCTGGATCCCTCATCCGCTTCAATCACACGTTGGAGTCCCCGATCTATTTGTTTGTCCACCAGTGCGTGCCCCTCATTGGCTCCTTCTCACAATTTTTATTTTTTAATGAAACTATAGGCTTTCAATTGAAGAAAAACACATAATTACAAACTAGAGAACAATTAAATATCTAAAAAAGTCAACTACTCAGCTGAATCTAGTTGAGAGGACTAACCCCATAGGCAGATAGTCTGATGCAGCCTAAAATCAACCTAAGCACAACACACTAGAGCTAAAAACAAAGACAAAAACCAGTGTTAAAACTGCCAACAAGAGAAAATCACATGTCCCAGCAGGAGAATAGAAACAACTCCCAAAGGGAAAGAACAAAAAAAAAAA